TAGGGTAAGAACATGCCCCAAAGACCTTTTAAGCACAGCAAGATTCACTTTGTTGCTGTCACTTTACAAAACAGTTTCTCCCTAATATAATCCGCAGTTGACAACCCTTTAAAAAGCTGCCAGCCCTATTTCTGGCATGTCCAAATAGCAAGTACAAAAAGCTTCGTATACCCAATTCTTGTTTGCTACCCCAAACATTTGATAACTTGGCCTGCATATTTAGTGCATGCAAATCAAGGTTCAGGGGTACAAGGATGCCCTGGTTTTAGTCATTATACTTCTTAGTCTACTACATTAGGTTTACAGTCTAAGCCATGACAGGTGGAGAAACACCAGTACAATACCAGACAGTTTCTTAGCCAGCCAGCCCCTGAGTATGTAATACAAGTTAGATCCCAGAATGCCTAATATAAATTAATGACGCGGTCATTGCTGCCCTAAGACCTTGATCACACCTTAGCAAATCCTGTTTGGAATGAGTCCTACGCACAATGGCTTACAGTTCTCTCTGTTATCAGAGGGGCTCAGTCTATGCCAGCTATTGTAAGGACAGGCCTGTACACAGTGTGGCCCAGCACCCTGACAGAATCAGGACACCACAGTCAAACCCCAGTGCAAAAGGCTAGCGTTAGTTGCACTGCTGAGAAACTGAGATTAACTTGAAACCCTGGATGCACTCACCAGTCAAGTCAGTATCAGAGCCATGTGCAGGCGCTACTGATAATAATGGCTTTTCTCAGAGCCACGAAGCCTCTGATCTCTCTCTGACCAAAAAGCTAATACCATTTGGTTAACTAAAAATGTTTAAATCATTAATTTGACTTAAAATAAAAAATCTTCCTCCTTCCAGCAAAATTCTTGAAAACACTATAAACATCCAAGGCAAGGAATTAACAACCTCGGAACACATCTTGGGTGATGGCTGGGTGGACACTAACTAGACTATTAGCACTTCGAGTAAGAAAGGTCCCCGGACCTGTGTACACCACAGTGTTTGAGGAGATCCATGACTAAAGAGTGTGATGTTTTCAGCACTGTCAGCGTCTCTGAGTGTGTTCTGAGAATCCATCTCGATACCTCCATTTGAAGTGCCCCTCCTCTCTTTGCTCAGCTTGTGCTTTAGTTGATAGCTTTAACTATCCTTTTGCAACAAGTCAGGAATAGTTCATAGGAAAGAAGATAGGTCATCAAAGTACCACTGACAGTGTTCACAGGCATTGCCAAACTACCGTGGGTTTAATATGCAACCACAAAAGACCCAAAGAAATACAAAGCAATCTTGATCTTTAACAAAAAGAACCAAGTGGGGGCATTAAATACCTGACTTCAAAACATACCATAAAGTTAGAGTAATCAAAACAATATGGAACTGGCATTAAAAACACACACAAATGGAAAAGAACTGAGAAGCAACCCACATATGAGCGGCTGATGTGCTTTCTACTAAGGTAGCAAGATCATAACGGGAGAAACATCTTCAACAATAGGAGCTGGGGGACTGAACGCCCACATACAGAGAAGAAACCAGACTCGCTTATTATCTAAAAATAAAAATTTACTACAAGAAAACAATGAAATGATTCAGGACATCAGTGCCGGAAAATTTTTATATGATGTTAAAGGCCAAAAAATGACCAATGGGATTTCATCAAACTCCCTCATTTCAGCAGAGTGAAGGACATGGGCAACCGATAAAAACATTGCTAACTCACACTAAACAGGAACTGCACGACAGAGGAACTCAAACAAAGCCAACAACCCAAATAATCCAATTCAAAGATGGTCAAAAGAGGGGCTGTTCAGATGGCTCAGTAAGTAAAGTAATTGTCATGCAACCATGAGGACCTCAGTTCAGATCCCCTGTCCATATAAAAGTCAGGTGCAGCAACTTGAACCTGTAATCTCAGTGCTGGCAGGGAGACAGGAGGATCCTGGGAATTGCTGGCCAGTCAAGCTAGCCAAACTGGCAAGATACAGGTTCAGTAAGGGACCCTGCCTTAAAACACAAGGTGAGAAGGAGAGAAAAACACCTGACTTTGACCTCTGGGCGGACACACACGTGTGGACACACACACACACACACACACACACACAGAGGTATATAGACACCACAGACACACACACACAGAGGTATATAAACACCACAGATACACACACACACACACACACACACACACGTATACACCACAGACATACACACACAAAAATAGTGATCTGAACAAACATTTCTCAAAAGAAGATGTATGAATGACCAACAACCATGTGAAAAATGTTTAACATCATTAATCAGGAAAATATAAATCGAAACCACAATGGAATGTCATCTCATCTGAGGTGAGAGGATCAGCTGGGCCTGGGAGCTCAACAAATACATATGCATGTGTGTACACACAGAGAGAGGACTATTATTCGGCCATAAAGAAGGAACGGGTCCTGTCATTCACAACAGTGTAAGTGTAGCTAGAGGACATTATAGTAAATGGCAGGCACGGGAAGGGCAATATCGTAGATTCCCATGTGTATGTGGAAACAAAGCTGACATCAAAGCGTCAGGCAACATGGAGCTGGGGAAACAGTTCAGAAGTTAAGAGCACTGCCTATCTTGCAGAGGACTCAGGTTCGGTTCCCAGTACCCACACAGCAGCTCATAACCATTGCAACTCTAGATCCAGGGAGGCGGCACCCTCTACAATGGGCACTGCTTTTTATTGGTGCACAGACATATAAATAGTCATATAAATAAATCTATTTTTTAAAAAAAAAATAAGTATATACTCCAATAATTACTAAAGCCTGGGAAGGGTTTGTGTCGATGGCTAATGGACAAGAATGATGGCTTCTGTCGTTGTACAGCACAATACGCTGATGATGACTGACAACAATTAACTATGTCAAAATATCTAGTAGAGAAGACTTTGACTGTTCTAACACCAAGGTGGCAGACATGCCGGTATCCTCATCTGATCATCAGCAATTTGTTTCTGAATTGCCTGTAGCCTGTGGAGCCATATACTTAGTGTTAATTGAAAATAGTACAGTAAAAAGGATGTCAACTAAGCCAAAACAGGGACAACAGGTCAAAGAAAGAGGTGGGTGGAGAAGCTGGGGAAGGCCATTCACCCACCAGGAAGGAAACTGACCTTGGCCAGAGGTCGTGTACATAAATTATTAGGGGGATGGGGTAGAGTGATCTCATCTATCTATGGGATTTGGACTGCAGCACTGGCCTGTACGGAGTGGGAAACTATCGAAAGGACCTCTGAAGGAAGGGTGCAGGGTTGAGGGGCATGGGAGGGCAGTCCGTGACTCATGGCAGCGGCCCTCTCCACCACGGCCCTTGCTACTCCAAGTCTTGATGCAAGTGCTTTCTTTCCTCTAGAAAGTAACTGCTGGACAAAGAGAAAGGAGAAGAGGCAAAACTTCCCCAAACAGGCTGAGCGTGTGAGTGTGTGTATGTGTGTACGTGTGTACATGTGTGCAAGTCCACTGTCAACTAGATTAAGAACAAGCAACACTTCACACAGCCCTGTCACCACACCCCATTTGGTCACCTGGCACAACTGCTCCAAGTCACAGGCAAGTTGAGGGCAAAACCCAGAAAGTGCAAGCCTGACCCCCCCTCCCTGAGAGTACTGTCTCAATGGGGTGCTCATCCTACCCCAACCCATTCATCCAGCTCCCTCTTCTCTTGCAAACAAGGTACCTTGATAATTCTCAGCATCTAGCCTCATCCTAATTAAGCTCTGCCAGTCACTCATCCTGCCCTATTTCATTACCACGCAATCATGTGACGGGACTATTTCCTCTGACATTTTGTATGTACAACACAAAGCAGTATGTGGGAAATGTGAAAACACCTGACACTTCATGGCACACAACAACAGACTTTTACATGTCTTAAACAGAGTTCCTGGAAAACAGCTGGGTCAGCAGCCGCTTAACTAAAAGCTGGTAGACCCAGCTCTTCCCCCTTCCTTCTCCCATCACCCACATTTCCCTCCCTGGGCTCTGCTGGCTGTCCCCACTTCTCTATACCTCTCTCAACATTTACGTCCCAGTGGTACCCAGAGATGGGACAGAAGCCAGCCCTGTTAGCACTTGTTTTGTTTTAGACAGTGTGCAGCCCTGGCTAGCCTAGAACTCACTAGCAGACTAGGTTCACCTCCCACAGAAATCTGCCTGCCTCTGCCTCAACCATAACTAGCCCTTGGAGCACATTTTAAAATGGGGCATTGTGGAGAAAATACTTACCAAGACTGTAAACTGAGCTTCCACGTGTGTGCCACAGCACGTGTGTACATACACACTCACACACTAAATAAGTAGATTTTTTTTCTAAAACTTTTGTTGGATGAACAAGCTCACAGCCACAGAGTCTGCTGCCTCTCTGAGCGTCAGGAGCATCTGGCCTAGGTGATCAGCTACCACAGACCACAGTGTCAGTGTTCCCTGCTGCTGCCACCAGCTCACAGCCCCACTGCCCTACCTTCTCAGCTCTGTGCCTGACCCCAAGGTCAGACACTCAGGTTCTCATGGAAGTCACAGGCCCTATCCCTAAGGAAGGCCCATGTAAGCGCACGGGCCATGCCCCATCTCCATTGCAAATTACTTCCCCCTGCACTCACTCCTAAGATCTGACAACTCTTTACCAAACCCAGCAAGAGATATTCACATTATTACAACACTTAAAATCACATGCAAATAATTAAATATTTTATTTTAAAATGCTTACCCTTCCTGTAAAAAAAAAAGAAAAAAAAGACACTTGAATTTTTGATATTGTATTTACAAAAAGTTTAAAGCACTGGTTATAACCTCAAGTTGATTTCAACAGGGCCACCATTTAAGACACACTGTGTCTCCTCCTCCAGGCTCTCCGGCTATCTCCTTCTTCGGTATCAGTGCCAAGGGCCTAGAGTGTGATATAAGTCTGCTCTTCCCATTGCTTTTATGAACTGAGATGAGACATTAAATTGGAAAGTCAAGAAAACTAGACATACCTCAGCTCACTAGCTCCAGGGAAAATGTGAAAGGATGGGCCACTCTGAGCACAGCTGTACTTGGTGGTGGCTGTTACTTCACCCAAACATGAAGCGGGAGCTGTGTTGGTGAAGAGGGGACACACAGCAAGCAGGTCACATTAGGAGAAAACAGAGTGCTACCAACCACTATCAAAAGTCCTCACTGGGCTGACTCCAGGCAGGTTCCCCAAACACTTCTTGAGTTCCTGCTAACCATACTGTTCTCATTTTTCTTTAAACTGCACAAACAGCAGCAGAGTTCAGTGAACCTTACATATTAGACCATACAGAAATGTTGTGGAACAGTGTACCAGAAGAGGGAGCCTAGATCTCCAGGGACAGCTTGGGCCAAGCCCAGTAGACTTCATCCTTGCTAGGTCAAAGACAGAACCTGGGGCTGGAATGTAGTCCACACTGCTTCCTTTAGTATCCAGTCTACAGAGGAGACACAGGCCACACTCAGAGCAGCTGGCAAGGATGCGGGCACGACAGTTGGGTGGGCAAGCTAGGGACAGAGCAGCTCCCACAGTCCTAAAACACTTGTCAGTTCACACCATGAGCTGACCACCCAACGTGACAGTCCCTTCATGCAAAGTCAGTCCCACCTCCATCAGGAGAGTCAGGGTAGTCTTGGTTAAAATAAGGAAGCAGGATATCTGGGTCCCAATCCTGGGCTTCTGAATTATTAGCCAGATGAGGATGACATGCTGCATTTCCAACAAGCTCTCAGGTGTTGCTGATGCTGCTGGTCTGGGAACACCTGGAGGAATACTGGTCTGAGCCAATCAGCACACAGCACTCTCATGCTAGGTCTAGGAAAGGCACAATATTGGGACCCTGCAGAGCAGAGAGATCTGTACAATGGCTGAGAATCTATCTGGCTTGTTTGTTTCCTTCTCTGTCCCTGATGGATAGAAGCAACAAACCACTTAGTCCCACCAACCCTAGCAACCATCCTGTAATCATGAGGCAACAGCATCAGTGCCGGCTGAAGATGGAGAGAAGAATTTAGGTCCCTGACGAGACTGCTAAGCTGCTGACGCAGGAACTCTCCTGTGTTTATTTGGCAGCTGAAAACATCCCAGGCAGATACCCTCCAATCCAGGGTACCCCCTCCCTTCCCAAAGAGGCGCTCTTCCCAAAGATGTCCACTTGCCTAAACATACTTCCTTCAGAAGTTCAGAATTTACAAACCTGGCTCATCAGTCTTAAAAACCTAAGTCCAGTGAGTCAGAAAACAAATCACTTAAAATGCAAGCAACACAGGAGAGGCAAAGCAAGTGGCCCACACCCTACTGTGAATTAACTCAATCAAACGGCTTCTGTAACAGCTGATCCCAGATGCTGTGGCTGCGGCCAGAGGTGCAGAACAGCAAGTGCACAGGGGATTTTCAGGAGACCCCTGAAATCTGGTGGCGGGAAACTGAGGTCAGGAGTTCCAGGTGTGTGAAAGAGGGAGCGGAGAGGCAAGGGAAGGGGACTGGAAGGGGCAAACATTTCCCTCCACCAGAGTCCTCACCCCTCCTTCAAGAGATCAGGACACCTCTGTATTCCTGACTCTGTAACAGGAAGCAGACATCTCATTTGTATTATGAGCCTCTGTGTCCCAGTCCACCACATATAATTTACCTTCCTATTCTGAGGCCTCCATCAGGGGATGGTAAATTATATGGGGTGGGGAGGGCCGCTGGGTCACTGAGGCTCATAATAAGAATGATACTATAATAAAAGCCTGAATGCAGTCAGGCGGTGGTGGCATACACCTTTAATCCCAGCACTCTTGGAGGCAGAGACAGGCATATCTCTGTGAGTCTGAGGTTAGACTGGTCTACAGAGGGAGTTCCAGGACAGGCTCCAAAGCTACAGAGAAACCATGTCTAAAAAAGGCCGAAGGCAGGAGGTCAGGATTTCAGCCTACTTGGGGGCTTCTGGAAGTCCAGTTCAAAGTTCGCTGAGTTCTAGGAGCCAATCTTACAGTACTTGCATGGAAATATAGTGGTTTAAAGGAACCAGTGCCATAGGCAGAAACACCTGGCTCCGACCCCACCCAGTTTCTGTCAACACCATCTTGCAGCTCCCTGACCACACCTCCCCTAAGCCTCTCTTCAAGATTGATGCTTACCACCTGACAAGACCTCTCAGAGGATGCCTGAGGAGAGACGGCCTAGGTCTGGCATGTGGTGTGGTCAGAAAAAATTGGGTTCCTTTTCCTTGGGGGAACAATTCCTACTTAAAGTTGCCAGAAACCTTATTGAGTAACATAAGACCAATCTAGTATGAGAAACCACAGGCAAAGGACATGAACGGGTAATTTAAACTAAAAAATTCAACATATAAAGGAATTTAATGATTTTGGCTATTTGAGAAACATAATAAAAGCATAATGTCTTTTGGGCGTTAGATTGGCAAAATTAAGATGTCAAATCTGAAGGGAAACAAATGATGGAAGGGTGTGGCTAATGAGGCCCACTTGGGGGTGTAATTTGACAAAACTGTTGATTCACAATTACTCCTTGTCCTACTGCTACTGATACCAGCAGGGCCCTGCAAGACTGAGAGATGGGCGCTAAAGGGACCTGGTCCATATATAACTGACTTTTTTTTTTTTACAGCAGAAAATTGGAAAGGACCTACATGCCCACCATTATAAGATGGCTAGATAAATCACAGCACACCCCTACTCTGGAATATGGATTCCCCGCCTCCAAAGAGGGGTAAACTCATCATGTCAGTACACAAACAGTCTCCAGAACATAGCACAAAACTGAAAAAGCTAATCAGACAATATGGTATGTAATGTGACTATATTTACATTTACGTGAGCAATTTAAACATTCCATCTTCATTTATTTTGAGTCACCAAGGACAGGTTGTCAGGCTATGGGGAAGTGCCTCTATCTGCCAAGCCATCTTGCCAACTCGAACAAGAACTCCAGTCCCCAGGAAAGGTCCACAGGCAATGGAACAAGGACTGGTGATGGAGCTTGGTGGCAGAAGGCTTCTCTGGCGCGCACGAAACCCTGAGTTTGATCTCCGACGTTACAAACACATACATAAAGGCAATGATACCACCTCCACTTGCACAACAACCGCGGGCATTCTGGGGTCTAAAGCCACTCTCCAAGAAGGGAACAGAGCTCTGAAAATGGCTGGTTCTGAGGCTGGGCAAGGATAATACAAATGGAGTCTCAAAGATTTTGTACCAGAATGGAAAAGAAGTCCTTAAGGAACGATCGGAACATGTACAAAGAAAGGGACTCCCTAAAGGATAAATCTGGGACAGAGTCATACAGAAATAATGACAGGAACAGACTAAAGCCTAATTAATGGATACAGCAAGATTTTCGTGTTCTAGGGATGTAAATCGAGAAGTGTATTTTAGGGAAAATCCTCTTTCGTTTAGTTCGGTTCTCTAACACACATAGAAGCAAACAAGAAATTAGAAAACTCCCATCTGTCGACTCTATAGATTCAGATAAGAGGCATCAGCGGGTTCTATCTGTGGCTGGAAAGACTGAGGAGTAGCATGTCCTGCATCCCTACGAGATGCATATTAATCACTATTAGTAACTTTTCAATGAGCCCCACACCATCCTAATCAAGACATCAAAGCTAACAAGTCTAGCATAGAGTTTAATGAGAAGTAGGCAGTATCTGCCTCACATGAGCCCAGCCAACGAGGCTGCAAGCTCTGCTGCTCTTGCAAGAAATAGCTAACCGAATCCAAATAGTGTGAAACCCAAACTGAGGGGCATTATCTGAAACAGGCAACAGTCTTCAAACATGTCAATGACATTAGATACAAAGAAACACTAGTTAAGATAGACTGTAGCTTAAAAGAAAAGAAAAAAAACCCAGAAGGCAACAAATAAGCTAGGGTTTTCTTTGGGGATAAAGGACATTGTTGGAGCAATTTCTAAGATCTAAATAAGACCTATGCATTAAATAGCAGCATCCCTGCCAATGTTCATTTCCTGAGTTTTAAGTGCCGTATGTATAAAATGTTTTTAAGAAATCCACCTGGAAGTATTTAGAGGCATAGGGTATTTGGCCTCAAGTTACAACTAAGTTGTTTGTTTCTTTGTTTAAAGCATGAAAACGAGAGAAGGGTAGCAAAATGCTAATATTAGGAGAATCTGGACAAAGATTTTCCGAAAAATCACTTACATTTATACTATTCTTATCGTTTTGCTGTGAGTCTGAAAGGACATCAAAATACAAAGGAAAAATTAGTTAAGAGAGAAAGGAGCACTCTAGGGGTTTCTGAGGACTGGGTTCATGAAGGTCTTTTCTTTCAGGCACTGAGGGACAGGCAAAGTGAAGCAAGCCTGCAAGGGGCTGGTTAATACTGGTCTCCTTAACATACGCTCTGCTCAGAGCCTCTGCTCCAGGCCCAGTCTCCTGCTCATCAATCAAGGTCTGAAAAAGAACATAATCCAGCTTTCTCTGCCACAGACGTGTGCTGTTTACTTCTTCATGAAAGTCAAAGCCTCCCAACACCATTATGTAGCTGATGATTCTGAGAACTTCTCTGAATATGGAAATTAAGGGGGAGTTTTGCATTAAAAAGTCAAACCAAGATAAAAAAGCCTTGATGGAAAGTTTCTCCCTCCACTCTGCTTTACTGAGTTCTTGAGAGGCTTTACGGTAGAATGGGGACTGGAGTGCTCTCCTAGTCCTTTCTAGTGCATTCCTGGTGGCTAGCTGAGAATTCTCCTAGGCAGGCAGCTGCGTAGGGCCAATAGTTCTTTATCACACACCCCATTTCTCCAGTGTTCTATCCTTTTTCGTTTTTGTTCTGTTTCTGAGACAGGGTTTCTCTGTAGCTTTGGAGTCTATCCTGGAACTAGCTCTTGTAGACCAGGCTGGCCTTGAACTCACAGAGATTCACCTGCCTCTGCCTCCCGCACGTTCTAATCACTTATGCAAAGCTTCTGTACACATTTCCTTAAAGTGATTGTTTTTAACAACTCATATTCATTTTAACAGTAATACTACAAAGTCCCTAGTTTCCAAAACAACAGAGTAAACTATAATGTATGCTCTAAACGCTGGGTCTGCTTGAGAGCCTGGGATTACCCAAGCAGATTCTGAGGATGACAAATGAGTCGTCACTAGACAAGCAGAGTAGCCAAGGAAGGACGGCAAGCGCTCTCACCGAGCTCAGCAGAAACACGGCCCTCATTTTTCTCCATTCCTGTAAGCTCGGTCTTTAAGATGACCCTCCTAGTGAGTTTGGCTCATTTCTACATCATGTTGACAAGACACAAAAAACACCACCTGACAATGATGCTCACATGCAGCACCCCCCGAGAAACAGCATTGTGATCTTTTGACACCACCTCTTTAACACTCAGACCTCCTTGGGTGAGCACCAGCTCCCTTCAAAGAACTGAATTGACCAGGAGAAATCTAAGACCAGATTCAAAAGACAAAATTTACTGACTTCAATCAAAGACGAGATGGTTAAGTAAGTAGGACAATCTAGAGCTGTTCACTGCCTGACACTAACATTTAGACTTCAAAACAAACTCAGCAAGTGAGGTTCGGTTTTCACCTTTTAGAGATGAGAACATTGAGAACCTGAGTTGGGAAATGACAGAACCTTCAGAATTCACACCCAGATCAGCACACTCTGTCCCCAGGCCCCTGTGATGTACCCATTGTCCACACAACCTACTGGGCACAGGAGTGAGTCAAGCTGAATATCACTGCAACATCCCAACCTCGGTGCCACCCCACCCTCCCCCATCTCCTTGGCTCAAATGCCCTAACTGGCAGGTGACAAATCACGTTATACTCTCGGGCAGCCTCTCAACACCAAACACATTCAGAGGCAAAGCGAAAGACAAGAAGATGGGATTTACAACGGCCTATACTTCCTTCTTACCCAGAGAGACATTTTCATGAGCTGTCAACTCCGGGCAGGAGGAACCCACCATTATGTAATGTCAGAGGGCAAGCGACAAGGGGCAAGAGAAGCCAAGGCCCATCAATGCTTCCATCCTTCGCCCACAAAGATATAAATTTGTGTCTGACATTTTGAGTGTTTAAGTGGCCTACACATTCATGACTGGCTTTGCAAAAGACGATCACGGATCCCTGGAAACCTCTCAGGCCTCAATTAGCTTACTAGCAAAGCAGCCGGATATAAAATACATAAAAAAGGCAAAGGTAAGGGAGATCCTGTCCGGGACGATGCGCGGACAGAAAACGCTTGGAGAGTTGCGAGGATGCAGTCGGTGTCCTCCACCAAGATGCATGTTTATTTTTACCAGGTGTTTTGACACCTGAGATACCCGCGAGGCCTTCAGAACTGGAAGCCCGGAATCCAGCAGAGATGCATCCGGCAGGCGCGGTGTATATAGCATCCCACAGTTTCCCAAGAGGCCCAAGGCAAGGGGACTGCAAGTCTAGGACCACTCTCCAAAGACGCAACCAGCGAACCGCTAGGCTGTACCACTGCCATGACAACCGCGGGTGCCGTCCGGTCGGGTCCCCAGTGTCTCCAGTTTCCAGCCGCCGGGCCCCTCAGCTCAGTCCCACACCACCGGACCCAGCTCGGCCCAGCTCGGCCCACCTACCTGGCGCGCCCCGACCCGAGCACTTGTTCAGTCCCAGCCTCCGTCCTCTGGGTCGCGCGCCCCGGCGTCGGCCCCACCGGTCGCTGCCGGGTCCTGAAGACTGGCCGGGACTTAGGTTCTGGCCGCCTTGCTCCGGCCGGTAGTGTCCACCCAAGATCCGAACCCCCTGTCTCCGCGCAGCCCGAACCCTGCCGCTGCCTTCACTCAGAACACAGCGCACAGCCCCGCCCCGGTTCCGCCCCCTCGCCGCGCATGCGCGTTTCACGCCCGACCGGCGCCCTGCCCCCTCCCTTGTTGACTCCGCCCCCAGGAGATCGCACCGCCCATAAGGTCTCGCCCTCTTCTGTGACGTCACCCAGGAGTGGATCGTTTTGTTCCCTTCCTAGTTTCTGCTAAGAGAACAGGTAACTAGGAGAAAAGCGATGGAGGTCGGAAGTACAGGTGTAACTTAATCAGTCAGTCGGTGGGCGTAGTTATCAACCAAACTGTTATCATTTGAATGTCCTTCCACACTTGGTCTAGTTCATGTGTACAGATACGCATTTATATAGACTCCCAAGAGACAATGGTCCTTCCCCTTCTTGCTCAAAATTCTGTTTTTCCATGGGAAACTTTCAGGAGATACGAGTTTCTGACTGAAGAAGGGAAATTTGTCTGAAAAAGGGAAACTACTGGGCTAAACATAAACATTAACTTTTCAGTTATTTTACACATCACTTGTCTTTTTTGTTGCTTGTTTTGTTTGTTGTTGTTTGTTCTTTGAAACAGGGTCTCTCATGTATCCCCGGTTGGTCACCTACTCACTGTGTAGTTAAGGGAGCCACTGCCTCCCAATGCTGATGCAAAGCTGAGATTGCAGGTATCCACTGCAAAACCCAATTTTATCTTCTGAGAAGTAACTTATTAACAAAATGCTTATCTTTTGTTATTTCTTCGTATGAATGGGAGAAAATATTGACAAGACCTTAACCCTAAGACCAAAAGCTGAGTAAATCAAACATGCTTGCAAAAAAGTGAAACCCTATTTCGTTTTCTAAAGTTCAGTGTATGCCTGGTCTTCTCAAGGCAGCCCCTGTTTACACCCCCCTCCCAGGAAAACTGCTAATAGCAATCCCCCTTCCTTTCACTCTCAAAAGCATCCCATTTAGGTAATAAATGTCCTGGCCAGTGTCTTAGTTTGCTTCTCTATTGCTGTGGTAAGCCACCAACCAAAAACAATGTGGGGAAAGATTTATTTGGCTTAGAGGTTACAAGTCCATCAACAGGGAAGCCAAGGCAGGATTTCAAGGCAAAAACCTGGAGGCACGAACTGAAGCAAAAGCCAAGGATAAAAGCTAGTTGTTAGGGTGCTCAGTCTGCTTGCTTTGTATACAACTCAGGACCACTTGCCCAGGGGTGACATGGCCCCCAATAGACCTTGGTCTCCCACATCAATCATTAAGAAAAATGCCCCACAAGGAGCAGAGGGTGAGGTGGGATTGGGTGAGGGGAGGGGCGAGCGGGAGGAGAGGAGGGAGGAGGAACTAGGATTGGTATGTAATTAATCAATTAATTAAAATTTGAAAAGAAAAGAATGCCCCACGGAGGAGCCTACAAAGCCATCTGATAGAGGTATTTTCTCAATCAAGATTCCCTCCTCCTAGACAAATCTAGCTTGGGTCAACAATAACAAACTAGCCGGTACAGCCACACTACTTAGAATCAAGCTAACAATAGTTTTCAAATCAATAGCCTTGAATACTTTTCAATTCACAGGTTTATAAATAAATATCAGTCTCATTTCAACAGTCATTCAAGACAGTAACAAATATGATCAGAGCTCCAATATTTGCCCCTGACTCTTGCACACTTATTAAATATTAAAATTATTTTTAAAATATTATTTTTATATTTTATTATTTTAAAATATTATTAAAATTAATATTAAGAATATTAAAAGACCAGTCATGTTTTCACTGTGTTGATAGATATCCCCAATCCATTGTACAAAGAAAATAAGCAAGGAAAGAGGAAGCTGAATTTGTGGACATATATAGTCATGTGCATTCCTACACATGACACCTGGAGAGAAGGTTTACCCTGGGCACAATGTACCAGTTCTCAACACGGGCCCCAAACGCCAGCAATGTAAACATCTCGATAGGACTGGAATTATTCCAAGCAGACAGAGCACCCCTCCTCTTGACTGCCAAACTACTGACAATTCTGAAATTGGAATTGACTCAGAAATCCCTCACGCTGGGAGAAGGAAAAGGCTGGGAAAGTGGAGCCTGTCTCCCAGAAAGAGATTTCACACATCTCCTGCATCTTGTCAGAGTACTCTGCAGCAGAGACGAGGAAGTGACGGTGAGCATGAATGACCTGGCCTGGGTCTGCTTAGCTACACAGAACTCATGTTATATTTAAACAGAATCCTCAGGTCAGGACCTGGGAAGACGGACTGGGGGTTTGGAAGGATGGGAGAGGATGCCATTGGATCTTTATGCCTTTCTCCCCATGAAGTCACACTGGACAAATGTCCTGTGTTTCACTACTGTTTGGTGAACTGGCCTATTGAGGACTTATGGCCGAGTCTCGCCTACAAGCTATCAGAGTTCAGGCTCTGATCCTAACAACTCTAGAAACAGCGTCAACTTTCACTCACAACTTTGCTGGGGGTCCAGTGAGACCACTCAGCAGATAGAGGTGCTTGCCAACAAGCCCGAGGACGTGAGTTCAAACCCCACATGGTGGAAGTAGGGAGCCAATCTTCACAAATTGTCCTCTGAGCTCCACCACCCACACATGTACACATTGTGACATGCACACACACACACACACACACACACACACACACACACAAACACACACCATCTTAAAATTAAAAAACAAACAAAACACTAGAAATGTACATTCCCAAGCCCCACCTCAGAGCTTGTTGCTTTTTTTGTTTGTTTGGTTGGTTTTGGTTTTGGTTTTCCGAGACAGGGTTTCTCTGTAGTTTTGGAGCCTGTCCTGGAACTAGCTCTTATAGACCTGCTGGCCTCGAACTCACAGAGATCTACCTGCCTCTGCCTCCTAGAGTGCTAGGATTAAAGGCGTGTGCCACCACCGCCCGGCTCAGACCCTGTTTCTAACAAGCCCTAGGGGGGTGCTGAGGAGCATACCAACTTAACTAACATCTATGTACAATAAACAGCTGATTTTTAATACAAGAACTAAGGGCTGGGCAGCATTATCAGGACTAGAGCCATCCTACGTGAGGCTTTCTCTTAGACCAGTAAGTATGATGCTTATATGTATGAGTAGTTTTGTTAGAAAACAGACATAGACTAGAGCACCGTGGGTTCTGAAGCCCTAACTGCTGTGGAAAGTCGCTCTGACATCCGCCGAAAGGACCAAAAGGACCTGGGTGCCTCAAAAAGTCCATTCCCTGAGACTCAGAACTATTTGACTTGTCTGATAATATCCTGGTAGGACTTGTCTTTAGATAACATGACTAACAATACTTTCATAGAAAATGGAGCAATTTGCCAGGTTAAACAACAATAACAGCAACAACAACAACACCACAAGTGTTTAGCACTGCAGCTGCTGGAGCTGGTTGGAGCTGGTTGGAGCTGAGCAGAGGCTAAAACTGAAAAGGAGGGGGTAGTGGTAGTGGTGGGAAAGGACAGTGAAGGAACTGGAGGGGAAGGAAACTGGGGGTGAGATTGATCAAACACAGTCATGTGTTATGAAGTGCTAAAAAAATTATAATCATTTCTAAACCTTTAAAGGAGATGACTCAGCAATTAGGAACACGGGCTGCTCTTCCAGAGGATCAGGGTTCAATTCCCAACGTCCACATGACAGTGAACAACCATTTGTAACTCAAATTCCAGGGGAGTCAATGACCTCTTCTGGCCTCCACAGTCACCAGGCAAGCATGTGGTATGCAGACATAAAGGCAGGCAAACCATCCATACACATAAAAAATAAAAGTAATAAAAAAAATCCTAAAAGAAAATACATGGGGAGTGAGACGTCCAAGGAGGAAGGAGTTGAAAAGATGAGAAATATTTCTGAAATCTTAAAAAGATTTTTCCATAAACACAACTGAGCGCAGACCCGGGACAGACTTGAAACAGCCCCAGTTTTCCACCTTCAGCCAACTCTGAGACTTAGAACAAGCAGGATGTGCCACTCCAGGAAGCTGTCGGGTCTGCCTGAGAATTGAAGACAAGCCCAGCACGCACACACTGCCCTAGCTCTAAACACAGGAAGGACCTGAGGAAGTCTTTAATCACTGGAGAGCCAATAAGCTAACCAAGCAAGGACCCGTGATGGCGTGGACGTGACATGGCCCCCAGACACTCACGTAGACGGTCTCTTGTTTTGATGTTGTGGGGTCTTGTTTGCTTGCTTGTTATTGGTTTGGCTTTTATTTTATTACAAGAGGGTATGGCTATGTAGCTATTATGAGTTTGCTTTGTTAGAAAGAGGTCAACGTGTTTGCGTTTTTCTACAATGTCAGAATTATTGAATAACAATAAAATCATAAGGGACAGTGTTTTCAGCAGCAGCAATTTGCTATTCAGTCCTGTTTTCCTTCCTAGCCCTAGCAGAGGCAAAAGCCTGTTCATATATTTCAATCTAAGTACCAATATTAACTCTTTGATCACATATTACACAGCAACAAATGTATCTAATGTGTATATGTGATTACAGGATGACTGTAAGGGTTACAGAGGCTTGAGGGGTCAAACCTGGAAAATGGACAGAAATGCAAAGGCATGGGGAGGGGATTTGTCCTACTTGGCTTTCTTTTACTATGATAAACACCAAGACTGAAAGGAACTTTGAGGGGAAAGGGTTTATTTGACTTCCATATCTGATCATGGTTCTTCACTGAGAGAAGTCAGAGCAGAAGCTCAAGGCAGAAACCTAGAAGAAGAAACTGGAGCAAAGGCCATGGAAGAATGGTGTTTATTGCCTTGCTCAGTTCATTGTCTTGTACAGCCAAAGACTACCTGCCCAGGGGTGGTACAGCTGCCAATGCTGGATCCTCCTACTTTAATCATTAATTTTAAAACTGCCCTACAGATGTGCCTATGGGCTAGTCTGATGGAGGCATCTTCTCAGCTGAGGTTCCTTCTTCTCAGATGATTCTAATTATGTCATGTCAACCGAAAGATAAGCAACACAGGAGTCAGGGCTCTCTCGAGTAGCAGAACTTACAAAATGAATCTCTCTATACATAAAAAGGGGATGCGTTAGAATGACATATAGGCTATGGTCCAGCTAATCCAACAATGGCTGCCTATGAACAGGAGGTCCAAGAATCCAGGAGTTACTCAGTCCTCATAGCTGGATGTCTCAGCTGGTCTTCAGTATTTTCTGGAATCCCAATGAAGGAGGCTCTAATACTGTAAGAGTTCAAGGAAATGCTGAAGGAAGACCCCAGACTCAAATAGCATGTTAAAACAAAGAGTGTTTCTTAATATTCCCGCATGCGTGTAGGGTCATTCACTGGTACAAAATGGCGATGACCCTGAGAGGAGCAGCAGGCTTCTTTTAAGCACAGCTAAGGGAGTTTCAGGGACAGTGAGGTCATCTCAAACAAGCAGCAGTTACACCCGTATGCTTTTAATTGACTAAGGCTTACATGCTAGAGCTTCTGAAGTCAGTCCCCAACTGGTACAGTGCTGTTGTAGAAAGTTTGGGGCCCTTTTGAACGTGGGCCCTTACTGGAGGAGATGGGTCACAGGGCATATCTTACTGGTTGAAGCATAGACCCTCGGGTTTGGAGACCGGTTCCCTCTCTGCTTCCTGGTCTGCTGGTTAAATGTGAGCAATCTGTGCTGCCTGCTCCTGCTGCCAATGCCACGAACTGCTCCAGTCACCTACCATTCCTTCTTCACTGTGAGAGACCGTATCTCTCTCAAACTGTGAGTCACAAAAAGCCTACCTCCCTTAAGTTGTTTCTTGTCAGATATTTGATCAGAGTAACAAGAAAAATAATCAGTACAGGTTATGGATGACTACAGTGATGCATTGATGACATCTAGTCACAAATACATAGATTATAGAATTAGCCCAAGAGACCCACTAAGCAAGCAAAAGGGCAACAACAATAAACAGTAGCAACAATGGACTATTGTTTCCTAGTATCAACCCTGGGAATGGAGGAAGTATTATTTTCAGAGTTATCATATTATTTTCAATGTCCAATTTTTGACAAGAAGTTACAAGATACAGGCCAGCTGGTAGTGGTACACACCTTTAATTCCAACACTCAGGAGGCAGAGGCAGGTGGAGCTTTGTGAATTCGAGGCCAGCCTGGTCTATAAAGTAAGTTCCAGGACAGCCAGAACTGTTCACAGAGAAACTCTGTCTTGAAAACAAACAAACAAAAAAGTTACAAGATAGATAACAGGACAAGAAAAGACACAGGCTAAGAGGTAGCTGAGACTGACCCAAAGATAACATGGGTGTTAGACTTACTAGAGAAATACATTTAAAAAATAATTTATTTTTATTTTATTTGCATTGCCTGCATGTATACTAGGGTATTAGATCTTGAATTTACAGACAAGTATTAGCTGCCATGTGGGTGCTGGGAATTGAACCTGGGTCCTCTGGAAGAGCAGTCAGTGCTCTTAACCACTGAGCCATCTCTTCAGCTACCCCAACAAAGATCTTGAATGAGCTGTTATAAATACAGTCAAAAAATTAAACCATTTCTCAAAAACTAAAGAAAAATATAAGAACAATACCACATCAAAACAGAATGTTAATTATGTAGAGATTATACTTTAATGCTGTAAGTTAAAGATGTAATCACGGAAATAAAAATTCTGTTCCAAATATACAACCAGAGATTGAGTCAGAAAAATAGAGAATTAGCAACTGAGAGGGTTGGCCAGTTGATGTTGCATAGTCTGAGGAAGACATATGAAAAGCCATAGAGAAAAGCCAAATCGAAAGAACTTGAAACTTTGGTAGGATACCGTTAGTCATTGTAGCTGTACATAGGGGAGAAGAGACAGGGAGATAGGGAAAGAATTTTTTGAGAAATAACCACTAAGATCTTACAAATTTGATGAGAGAATATTAACCTTCACATCCAAGAAGTCTGCTAGATTTCAACTAGAATGGCCTTAAGGACATTCATGCCTTAACACGGCATTATGAACTGTCAAAGGCCAAAGATGGAGAGAGAGAGAGAACTTTGAAAGCAGAAGCAAATTATCACACATAAGTGGTTCTCAATAAAACTGATGCCCCTGTCTTATCAGAAGAAACGATAAGTAGCCAGCAACATTGTCCTATCAGGATTACTGTTGCTGTGACGAAACACCATGACCAAAAGTAAGTTGGGGAGAAAAGGGTTTGTTTGGTTTACACGTCCACATCATAGTTCATCACTGAAGGAAGTCAGGGCAGAACTCAAACAGGGCAGGAACCTGGAGGCAGCTGATTAAGAAGCCATGGAGGGGTGGTGTTTACTGACTTGTTCCCCATGGCTTACTCACCCTGCTTTCTTTACTTTTTTTGTTTTTCTTTCTTTCTTTCTTATTTACTTATTTGGTTGGTTGGTTTGTTTTAAAAGACAGGGTTTCTCTGTAGCTTTGGAGCCTGTCCTGGAACTCACTCAGTAGATCAGGCTGTCCTTGAACTCACAGAGATTCTCCTGTCTCTTCCTCCCGGGTGCTGGGATTAAAACTGTGCACCACCACTGCCTGGCTTCAGCCTGCTTTCTTATAGAGTACAGGACCATCAGCCCAGGGATGGCACCACCGACAGTGGGCTGGGCTCTCCCCCATTAAACACTACCTAAGAAAATGTCTTGCAACTGGATCTTATGGAGGCATTTTCGTAATTGAAGTTTCCTCCTCTCAGATGACTTTAGCTCTTATCAAGCTGGCATAAGACTATCCAACACAAACAGTCCAAGCAGTGAAGGGAAAAGGCTTCAAACCTAGAGTTTTACCTTTAGAAAGACTAGCCTTCAGAAAAGGGGAGAGACTAAGACTTGAATTTATTTCTGGCAGTCCCACCTTCTAAGAAATATTTAAGGTTATTTGCCATGAAATGGTGGTACATGCCTTTAATCCCAGCAAAAGAGAGACAGAGGCAGGTGGATCTCTGAGTTTGAGGCCATCCTGGTCTATAGAGTGAGTTCCAGGATAGTCATGTCTATACAGAAAAACTCTGTCTCAAAACAAGAGAGAGAGAGAGAGAGAGAGAGAGAGAGAGAGAGAGAGAGAGAGGAAAAATACTTAAAGGGGACCAGTGAAATGGGTCAGTGGTGTGATGGTTTGAAAGAAAAGAACCCCCAAAGGGAGTGGCACTATTAGGAGGTGTGGCTTTGTTGGAGTGGGTGTGGCCTTGGAGGAAGTGCATAACTGTAGAAGCGGGCTTTGAGGTCTCATATATGCTCAAGCCACACGTGGTGTCTCAGGCCACGTCCTATTGCCTGGGAGTCAAGATGTGAGAGTCTCAGCTACTTCTTCCAAGTCTACTTGCATGCCACCATTTCACACCATGATGATAATGGACTAAACCTCCGAAAATGTAAGCCACCCCAATGAAATGTTTTTGCTTTATGAGAGTTGCTGTAGTCATGGTGTCTCTTCACAGCAATAGAAACCCTCAGACAAGAGGGTAAAGTTATTTGCCACCAAGTCTAAGGACCAAAGTCCAATTTTCTAAGATCCTCATGATAGAAAGAGAAAACTGGCTCCCACAAGCTGTCATCTGGCCTCTATGAAATTGTCATTACATTGTGCCTACACGCATACATGCAAACATCACACACACACACAGAGAGAGAGAGAGAGAGAGAGAGACAGACAGACAGACAGACAGACACACATGTAAATGTAAACTCAGTTTATGATATTTTGCTTCTTTCTAAAATGCCACAGAGATTAGAAAGATGGCTTAGCAGTTAGGAGGACTTATTGTTTTTGCAGAGGGTCCAAGTTTAGTTCTCAAAACCCACACAGCTCACAACCATCCATAACCACAGTTCCAGGGGATATGACACCCTCTTTTGACTCCCTAGGGCACCAGACAGGCACTTAATACACATACATACATACATGCATGCATGCATGCATACATACATACATATAACCATGCAAGCAAAACACGCATACACATAAAATATTTGTAATTAAAAAATAAAACAACAAAATGAAACTATTTAAGCCTATGTTGATGGAGTAATTATGTAAATGGACAGGATGCATGTAAGAAACTTCATGACTAGAGCAAACTTTGTGTATGCCATCAGAGTTAGTTTCATGATCCAACTGTGTAACAACCTCAATACTAAAGATCTACTCCAGATGTGCTCTGGGACCAGCAGGTCAATGTCACCAGGAAATCTGCTAGCGATGTAGGATGTCTGGCCCTACCTGATCCTCCTGACACACTCTCTTGCTCATACATTCCCCAGAGGAGTCCCATGTGTGCTAACGCCTGAGAAACAGAAGGTGTCACATGAACGCTTAATTGCTTGCTAAGCATTAAATTTTACTTCCTTTTTGGTCCTCTCTGTTTTGCTTTCCTTTCAACAGTGTATCATAATTTATTCTCTTCTCAAGTAAGGCAGAACTTCCAGTCTGAAAAAGGCTGAAGTTAGGTAGGGGCAGAATGAGGTTGGCAGAGAGGGGTCTCTGAGTGTGGAGGGAACAGGGGAGGAGGGCTCTGATGGGACACTTCCTAGTCTCTGTGGCTCAGCACCCAGTCCTTTGACGGGTTACTTAAAAAGAAAGATGTCTGACCTTGATATTCCCGTTTCCAGGTGTGCTGGAGAGATGCCACAGGCTTGGGAGCTGGAACACAGAAGCAGATCCTGTTTCCAGGGAGCACGCTGACACTGGTGCTTTCGAAAATAAAGCAGCTTCATTCAACTCACGCTTTGCAGTCAAGAACACTGGGCCATTCTGACTCTCCTCCAAATGTAAGGTTTTGGGTTTTTATTTTTGTTTGTTTGTTTAGGTAGAGTCTCCTACATCCCAAGCTGGCCATAAACATGCTTTGTAGTCCAGAATGACCTTGAACTCTTGATCCTTCTACCTCTGACTTCTGAGAGCTGGGCTTACAGGCATGAGTTATGAATGCTGCGAATTGCACCCAGGGTTTTGTACATGAGAAGAGAGTACTCTACCAACTGAGCCACAACCCAGCCCCACCCATAACATTTTTCATTCTTGCTAACTTCACAAACATTTAAAGACAAGCACGACTTGAGATATTTTTAATCTCTATTGGCTACAATATGGAGCAGAAGCTGCTGTTAACACATTTAAATGTTTTTTAATGTGTGAGTGTTTACCTGCACGTATGTCTTTGTACCATGTGTGTGCCTGGTACTCTCTGAAGTGAGGAGAGGACACAGGATCCTCTGGAAATGGCGTGACAGATGATTGTAAGCTTTGTTATGGGTACTGGCAACAGGACTGAGGTCCTCTGCAAAAGCAGCAAGCGCTCTTAACCACTGAGCCATCTCTCCAGCTCCAATGCAGTTAATATATTAATCACACATATGTGGGCATGTGTGTATAACAAACACAGTCGCCATGAGACTTCTAGAGCGGTGCCAACGCAGTCTGGGATTTTCTATCATGTTCCCTTCGAGCTTGTAATGTGATTGATTCCACAACTCGAGGATGAATTGCAACTCACATTTTTTTTCAAGTTTTCAGTAGAACCATAGTAAATTTGCAAGGAAAGCATTTGGATGTATTCTGCTTAGATTTATGAAGTGGATCCAACTCCATCGAGCATAATTTAGCACAGTGGTGACAGATATGGGCTCCAGAGTCCTCATTTGACTTTGAGGGCGTATGCTACCAACAAAAGTAAACCGTTTTCCAACTGAAAATGAGAATAATTAAAGCTCCCTTCTCATCCCACATCTCTCTCCCCACCTAAGCTCACCCTTGGCTGTCCCATATGCCATAATGGCAGAGACCTCTGGACTCCAGATGCCATGAAATATGCAGCGTATACCATGGATGACGAAGGACAAGTGCCCTTAGGGGCACTGGAGTCCAGAAAGCAAGTTTGGTTTTGGTGTTGTTTATGAGGTAGAGTTGTATGTAGCCCAGGTTGGCCTCAAATTTGCTACATAGCCAAGGATGACCTTAAACCAATGCTCCTGCCTTAACTTCCCAAGTACTGAGACCACAGGTATGAGCCACCACACTCAACTAGGGAGTAGGTTTGCAAATGACACTGTTCAACTATAAATATATCCCTTACTCAGTGGCACAGGATGTGCTTTTCTTCATGCGAAAAGGCAGATTTTTTAAAATAGCTTTTTTGAGGCAAAACTGACAGTCAAAAACTGCATGTGTTTAATGGATACGATTTGATGCATTTGCACATATGCACGTGTCTATAATGACAATACCGTAATCGAGGCAGTAAACATGCCTATCTCCTGCAATGACTCTTAACATTTTTTATAATAACCACCTAAAAGATATCAAATAAAAAGTCATACAGCAAGTATGACTGACATCCCAAAATGAAGGTTTATTTTTCTTCCCACATTACATAACTTCTTTTTTCATTACATTTGTTCATTTATTTGCTTATTTATTCTCTCTCTCTCTCTCTCTCTCTCTCTCTCTCTCTCTCTGTGTGTGTGTGTGTGTGTGTGTGTGTGTGTGTGTGTGTTTGTGGGAGGCTACAAGTGTCACAGAACATCTGTAGTGGTTAGAGGTCTACTTTGGGGGGATGGTTCTCTCCTTCCACCATGTGGGTCCTGAGAATTGACCTTAGGCTTGGCAGCAAGAGACTTTTCCTGCTGAACCATCTTGCTGGCCCCCATATCACACACATCTTTGAGTATTATAGCAAGGGCTCAGAGGTTCTAGTTCTTAAGTACCAGACCCATAAAGCCCATCAGTCAAAATGGAGAGTAGCATGTATCCCCAAACTCAAAGACCTGCAACTGCTTCTGCTCATGGTCAACTGACCGGGGATGGTGATGATCCAAGGTGCCTAACTGCAAGGATGGCGGAGGGGTAGCGAGGGCCAGCTTCACATAGATAGGAAGGGGAAGAAAAGCTGGTGTGGATGGTTTTTAGTTTTTTTTCAGGGCTTTGTAAAATTTTAAGGGGTTGGTTATTAGCTGTTACAGAGTTGGGGCGGAGCAATAAAGATTAGACTCAGTACTCTCATTGGGAACAGAAAAGAGGGGGATAGATGGGATAGGACAATATAGTAGATTATTGTATCTGCTTGTAAACTAAAATAGCAATAGCAACTATCCGTTTTAGATAATTTGCATTGGTATGGATTCTTGTATATTGATACAAATGTGAAATTATTTTCCTATTCTTGTTTAAGATAATTTGTATGTTGATACAAATTCAAAATTATGTTTGTCATATTGTATATATGCTTATACTTCTGTTTAAAATATTTTTGTATATTGTTACAAATGTAAAGTTATATTTGTCATATTGTATGTTTGTTCCTACTTCTGTTTAGGATATTTTGTACATCGATGGAAATTAAGGATATTTTTGTCATATTGCACTATACATTTCTACCTCTGATTAAGATATTTTTGTATATTGTTTCAATTTAGAAGTCATTGTCCTTATACTTATATTGTATATATTTACAGATTGTTTATTTTTATAATTTGACGCTTTAGTCTTTAGACTATATAGCTTATTAAGAATTGCAGGTTGATAGTAACCCATATTCATCATACATATGTTAGTTACGTTTTCTAGATGCACAACGATGTATTCCTCAAGATAGGTAATCATCAAACATTTTAAAATACTTAGAGACTATGACATTTAAATGTTTTTAGTAACTTAGAATTCTGCTGATGTGAGACACAACTGCTCCTGGAAGCACCAATCCACTCCTGTCATTGCATCTTAAATTGTGTAATAACATCAACAGAATGTTTGCTTTGCCACCCTGACTTAATTACTAAAAAGAACAACCAATGCCTTGATGCCAGCCTCCGGCACTGTTTGTGTGGAAAGAAGCTTTCCCACTCTGCCTCCTCAGATCTGTCTTTCCACCACGTTCCCTCCACAGGGGAGGCTTCAGGTAGGAATGTATGTATAGCGCAGCCAGACCTCTTACTAATGTTCAAATGTTCAAAGTACTGGCAGACATTCTCTACAAGCCTCCTCATGACTGTCACTCTTTTTATGCTAATTGCATCTCTCTCTCTCTCTCTCTCTCTCTCTCTCTCTCTCTTTCTCTCTCCCTCTCTCTCTCTCTCTCTCTCTCTCTCACACACACACACACACACACATATACACGCACACACACGCACACACACACACGCACACACACACACACTCACACCACACACTCACAGGTTTATCTGACAAGTCTAGGAAAGATGTGGGCTGTGCTTCAGCCACTGGAGAGTCCAGCATTGCCACCAAATCTGTGAAGGCTGGGTTGTATGACCAGTGTGAATTGTGCATAGCCATAAGAAGTAGGTAGAAGATTCAAGCCACGTCATTAGTGTAGACTCAGGTATCTGGGTCCAGGGTTCACCACTGTCCCCTTTGTCCAGGAAGACCTGAAGAACAGCATTTTCATTCTGCAGCGACTGTACTAGAAGCCCTGGGGAAATGTCACAGATGGCTTATTACATGTTATTTGTCACTGTCTTAGAAAATGTCCCTGGAAACTTAAGAGTTCTGTGAACATATAGAGCAAATGCTACCTTTAATAGTGAAAAGATTTTCCTAAGACAGTTTTTATCTAACAACCACTGCCTTGTTGAAAAGAACTCAAGATTATTTCAAAGGGCTTTCAAAAGAGATTGACATTTTCATATCCTACACTTTCACCACAGATAATCTCATTTTAAAAGGAAACATTTATCCTTGACAACTAAAGCGTGATAGACAAGGGTGAGTAGCCAGTAAGCTTCATAGTTATCATACACACAGGCACCGTGAGCCAGGATGTAGGCTTACCAGGACTTACTTACTTGGACTTGTAGCTTCTAGACACATGAGCGCAATAATAATTAATCTTGATTGTAAACTCCTGTGGGACATAGAATCACCATGGAAACAAACTTCTGGGCTTGATTGTGGGGGATTAGCTAGATTGGATGACTAAGGTGGGAACATTCAACCTCAATTTGGGCGACACTGGATGGAATAAAAAGGAGGAATTTATCTGGCCACGAACTTTGCTTCCCGATTCCAGGTGTGAGTAGCCAATCTCTGCTCCTACAACCACGCCTTCCCACAGCGATGGACTGTACCCTCAAACTGTGTGCTAAACAAACCCTTCCTTTCCCACCCTTTTAAAGATTGCATTTTATTTATTTATTTAAAGATTTATTTATTATGTATACAGTGTCTGTCTGCATGTTCTGGCCTGCACACTAGACGAGAGCACCAGATCTCATTATAGATGGCTGTGAGCCACCTTGTGGTTGCTGGAAATTGAAGTCAGGACCTCTGGCAGAGTAGCCAACACTCTTACCCCCTGAGTCACCTCTCCAGTCCCCAAAATTGCATTTTATTTATGTTGTGTGTCTGTGTTGTGTGTGTTGTGTTGCAGCACACATGTGAGGGTCAGGAGACAACTTTCAGAAGTCAGTTCTTTCCTTCCACATTGTACGTCCGAGAGACTTTAACACAGATTGTCAGGCTTGGAGTCAGGTATCTTTAGGTGTGGAATGATCTTGTCAGCCCTTAAGTAGTAGTTGTTAGTTTTGACAACAATGAGAAAGTAACTCTGGCTTGAGAGTAGAAAAGCTGTCCTCTAGTCAAGTAGGGGTTAACTACAAAAAGTTGCAACAGATATATGAAGTGTGTGTGTGTGTGTGTGTGTGTGTGTGTGTGTGTGTGTGTGTGTGTGATTGAACCAGGCAATAATGACAATGTCCAGGAAGACTGATAAGAAAGATCTCAGAGGAAAAGGCCAAAACCAACAAAAAATAAGTAA